ACCTACGGAGTTGATACGACCATATCCAGGTTATATGTCTCTTGTAGAACTTTTTCCGAGTGTTGCAGGTCGATGAAATCTAGTTCAACAATTGCCTTGGGAAAATAAAGCATCTCGACTCCCATGGCTAGGTAGAGTAGTCTTTGGTAGGAAGATCATAGTAGACCGGTTTGAGTACGATTCTCGGGAAACTAGTATTGGATGGATGTTTTGCTTTTGATCTCTCGCGATGATGCTATTTGATGTTCGTCACTCTCTGTTTTGCAGATTTTATTCCTTCGTTCTTTACTCGAGGACGAGCAAAGGTTTAGGTGTGGGGGGATTTGATAACTCCTATTCTTCTCTATATTTTGATGAGAGTTTGTCTAGGTTTTATAGGATAATCACATGCATTCATAGGCATTCTAGGCGTGTTAGGATACAAAGCCCGGTTGTGCTCTAGTTTTGCAGAGTTACAGGTTTCGAAGATGATTGGACTCGAAAAGGAGCCATTTGGAGCGTTAAAGGAGAAGTTCGGATGAGATACTCATGTTGCGACATCAATAACTTTCTCTACAGAGATCCAAATCGTGCGGGACTTATACCATTGGAAAGAGCACTTCAAGAGCTTCGCGTAGACACCAAAATCGCATAAATCCGACACCAGAGCAGAAAGTTACGAGCGAAATCGTGATGACCAGAAAACTGCCAGCACAGGGCCGGATCCAACTGGATCCGGTCCGGATCAAGGACGCAGAATTCGACCCCAGGAATCTGGATCCGGTCCGGATCCACCTGGAATCGGTCCGGATCCAGTCTAAAACCCTGTTTCGCGATTTTCAGCATCTGAATGGGAATAGGACTCTGGGGAGCCGCCCTAGGGTTATAAAAAAGCCCTAGCCACGTCCTAGAACAGGGGAGAACATTAGAGAACACCTAGATACAGATTTTTGGAGAGCTTTTGGGGAGAGAAGAATAGAAGTTCACGGGATTTCGGGAAGAAGAAGGAAGATTCGATCGTGGAGACTACACATCTACATGAGCTTTTCTCTCCTTTCTTTTATCTCTTCTTCTCTGTTCTTTCTATTGTTTTCTATGAACCGTGAGTAGATCCACGGCTATGGGTTAGGGATTCGTATGTGTTTTGGGTATGTTTGAACCCTAACTTGGATTTCGGTTTTGATTTGATTCGGTTCTATTGATTTGCACTTTTATTGGATTGATGTTTGCTAACCCCTTGATCAATTATCTTGGATTCTGAACCACATAGAGATATGGGTTTGTTTCGGATCAAAATCAATAGGATAGATCGTATTATTCACACAGAGATATGGCTTAATCGATCTAGGGTTGATGATAGCGTTCTTTATGCACCTAGGGTTAACTTGAATAGATCGAGAGATTGACGAGTTACTCTGTAGGTAGGGAGTTAGTAGACCGAGAGGTGAATTCTCTATTATCATTGCTTGATGATTCCCGAATACAAGTCATAATCGTTATTCATGCATGCTTAGTAAATACCCATACACGCGAATACGATCCCGACACCCGTAGTCATCCTTGTTTGATAGGTCACTCGTTTTTATTTACTTTCTTATATTGCTTACCATTGATTCTACATATTTCCACCATCACTTGCTTGCTTGCTTTGATCTATTTTCGATCTAGATTTGGATTTAGCAACCGGTCCTCGTGTCCGACCCCGTGTTACGACGATCCGTATCCTTGCGGTGAGTTGTGAATCGGGTTATATATTTTAGACTCGATACACACGTATCAAGCACACAAAAACGCGTGGCCACGCTATAGATGAAGTTGCATCTATTTTACTAGTCGATTTGCCAAGACGAGAAAGCAGTTGAACTTGAAGGGTGAATCAAACCATGCCCTTGTTCAACATATGATATCGTGAGACAAAGGATCAGAACTTCAGCAGTTAATGCCTTGGTTAGATCACCTCTAACTCAATTCTAAGTGGGTGGTCATGGCGTCTTGCTAGAGGCTAATCATGATTTGTGGTTCGGGAAAGGTTCCCAAAGTCACTACCACTTAGAATGGGCCTACAGGGTCACACACCACTAGGGATGGACTTATACGTGAAGAATCCGAAGAATGGAAACGAGATTTGACCAAAACGAGCATGAAAAGGAGTTTTCAGTGTGTTGGTCCGGAACTGACCAAGTTTGGTCAGTCCAGGTGGTCCGGAAGCTCGGTCTGAGGTCTTCTGTCCAGGTTTGGTCCGGCTGACCAAGAGTTGGTCAGTCCCGGACCAGACGCTGGGTCAGGTGGACCGAGAAAACGTGAGTCGGACTGAGCTGACGAAGAAGAAACTTGGTCCGGAGATGACCAAAACTTTGTTAGCCGGACCAAGCCTTCAAGTCAGGCGGTCCGAAGGGCTCGGACTAAGCTTGGTCTGCCGGACCAAGCTCCTGGTCCGGTCGGGATCTGGAAATTTTCCAAATTCGGATTTAGGGTTTTCTAAGCTTATTTAAGTTTGGGATTTCGTCCAAACTTAATTAAGGCCGCCCTAAAACTCAGAGAAACATCCTAGAACCCTAGAGAACCTGTTCTCTTCGATTTCGATTGTCCCGGGATTGGATCTCGTCTCTTGAGTTACCATTTTCTTCACTAATCCTAGCAGATTCGTTCCAAATCGTTTGGAATCCTTCCCGTCGGTGTGGATACGTGTAGAGGGACTGTAATTTCAGTCCTAGGTGATTAAGAACAGGCTCCGGATCGATAATTGCTTCAAGTTTCATTGAGAACGAGGTAAGTAACGATTCACTCGGTGATATACACGATCTTTCGGGTTTTGTAAGTTTGGTTGCGTGTGACGTCTGACTAGGTTTAGATCTTTCTTCCGCTGCATGAAACTTAGTAAACCAAACCCTAGATCGATATGATCGCATGCTAGGAACCCGTAGATAACCCAACAGACACAACCCGTGTCAAGATTCTGTATCGAAAACTTTATTTTTGTCAAAACACTCGTTTAGACTGAGTTATACTTCACTCGGAGTGAAATATACCTCACTCAGATCTAACTAGTTCATTGTCAAAACAAATATTTTATCGATTTATATCATATCATTTACGAATATATAATTCTTCCACCATATTTGTAATATATATAACTATGAATGAGATTATTTTGGTCAATCATTTAATCTAAAATATACTATCAATGAGCCGTCTTGAAGATACTAGGGGCTGGATGGTTGAGATTGATCGCAACCAAGACTGAAGATCAACCGAAGCTCTGAATCCGTCTTTTATTTCTTTGTTGCAGTGTTAGCTCATGTCCAGTAAAGGCTTTGTAGTTTGTCGCTCATGTGTTTGGATTGTGTAATTGTGGAATTAAGTGGCTACAATTATACTCATGCAATCACCTCATATTTTTATAGGGTTCCAAAAATAATCTAATTATAGTAGATTTTTTACAATACAGAGTAATTTGGACTAGAATAACCATTTCATTTTCAATATATAGAATAAAGAGCTGAAACAAATCAAACACTATACGCCGTTGATACACATACCATCTCTTCGTCGTCCATGCAAAGTTCACAATGCGATCCTACGTTGCACACTTATTGTATTCCTGATAACAACTCAGTCCATTAGAATTATATTAAAACATTCCTGGAGGATGGGAACCCAAAACCAGGAATTCGTGGTCGGTTGATTCACCGTCCTTAAGCACACACTTTCACCGTCCAGTTACCCTCTTCTTTCCTTTTAAGAACTTTTCTCTTACGGCAACCAATTCTTTTACTGCATCAGCCATTGTTATCCGGTTCGCCGGACTTTCTTCAGAGCACTTAATCCCGACATCGAACACAGCTCCCAAACACTCGGTAATGGCGGCACTGTCGCTGTGACTGTCAAAACTCCGTATGATTGATTGATCCGCAATGTCAAGTGTTCGTTCCGACCATGCTGCCTTGGTAAAACTATGAAGGTTAAAACCATCGGCGAACCGTTCATCCGTTGGTCTTTTACCGGTGAACATCTCCAACAAGAGGATCCCAAAGCTGTACACGTCGCCTGTTACCGATGGCTGGCCTCCCATTCCATATTCTTCACCCAACCCATACAAACGACAAAGAGATCGGCATTAGAAAACGAGTACATAACTTATTTGTTTTCGTATGTATTTAGGGGAAGATGTATACAGTGATTAGCGTTACTTGGAAACTATATATGTCAATGAGTTGTACGTACCTGGGGCAGCATAACCTATGGTTCCTCTGATACCGGCAGAGCTTAGTTGATTAACAAAGGACTCTCTATCAAATTTGAATAGGAGATGGGCCAAACCAAAATCGCTGACGTGAGCAGTCAAGTCATCATCTAGGAGAACGTTACTTGGTTTCAGATCGCAATGAGCGACTGGATCAGGAGAATGAGAATGAAGATAGTCTAAAACAGAGGCCACATCAATAGCTACGTTGAGTCTTTCAAGAGTAGTTAGGGTTCTTGAGGGATTACTGATCTCTTGGTGCAACCAAATGTCCAAGCTTCCATTGGGCATGAATTCGTAGATTAGTGCCCTGAATTCATTACCCTTTAAATCGATACTCGAGCAAACCGTTACTAGTTTGACAAGATTACGATGCCTCACGCTCCTTAAGGCCCTGCATTCCGCCATAAAACTCTTGGCAGCTCCAGGCTTTTGGAGGTTGAGAACTTTAATAGCAACAACCTTATTCTCGGGGCCAAGTAAGCCTTTAAACACAGCACCAAAGTTACCTGATCCAATCAAATTGCTCGAGGAGAATCCACTGGTTTCCTTTAGAAGCTCCCCATAACTTATCCTTTCATGGAAATGAGATGGATCACTCATGTTCGGTTCCATGTTTCTCATCGTCTTTTTTCTGTAACGATACATGGAACTCAAGGTCAGTACGACCAACAATAGCGATGCCAAACCCGTGCTCACACCAATAGCAATTTTTTTCCTGACAGAAGAATGCATTCCCCTTTTCACAGCATTTTCAACAGGGCATCGGGTTAGTTGTAGTTCTCGGATGCCTCCACATAGTTTCGTGTTGCCAAAGACTGAAACTACACTATGATTTGCAAATGCTCCTCCGGTTGGTACCATGCCTTCGAAATTATTCATGGAGAGATTAAGATAGTACAACGATGAAAAATTCACGAGGTATTCGGGTATCGGGCCAGAGAGACCATTGCTGGATAGATCAAGGACTTTGAGGCCATTCAACATTCTAATATCTGGAATGAAACCATCGAACGAGTTTCCTTGCAGCCAAAGTTCTTCCAACGATGGACAATTCCCCAAGGTTTGTGGAATCCGCCCTGAAATTTTGTTATAAGAAACAGCTAATCCAATGAGAAGTTTCGACTTCCCGAAATCATCCAGTAATGGGCCAACCAGAGAATTATACGAGACGTCTAAGTGCACAAGTGATGGAAGTTCCAAAACTTCCCGAGGTATGGTGCCGCTGAACTGATTGGAGCGAAGCACAACATCTTGAAGGTAAGAGCAATTTCCAAGATTTGGCGGGATGTTTCCTTCAAAACTGTTATTGAACAAATAGATGTATTGTAGTGTGGTGATGTTGCCTAAGGAAGAAGGTACCTTCCCCGAAAATTTATTTGAATACATGACGAGATTTTCCAAAATCGAAAGCTTGCCAAACGATGATGGAAGTTCACCAGACAATTCATTCTCTTGTAGGGATAGTGATCGAATGCTTACGAGGTTGCCTAAATCACTAGGAATGCTTCCAGTGATGAGATTTCCTCCAAGCGTCAGGATGCCCAAGTGGATGGAGAGGTTGGTTATGGCGGCGGGCAACTTACCTCCAAATCTGTTGTACTCAACACCCAAGACTTGTAGTTGCGTGCAGTTAGCCAATCCGCCGAGAAAATCGAGATCATCATAAGAGTGATTTCCTAGAGAGTTGTCATAGAGGCCTACCCATTGTAAATGTTGTAGTTGGCCAAAGCTCGATGGTATACTTCCAGTCAGATAGTTATCAGGGATATCTAACATCCGGAGAGCCGAAATATTGGAAATGGTAGGCGGGATGACTCCCGTGAAATGGTTATCCCCTAGATATAGAACTTCGATATTCGGAAGAAGAGTGCCGAAATCAGACCTTAGATTACCCGAAAAGCGGTTCCCAGGTAAAGACAAACCCACAAGCGAGGACAGATTGTAAATACCAGGTGGAAAGACACCTGAAAATCCATTTCCCGATACTTGGAAATGTGCCATTTGTGCTAATCTTGCTACACTCTGCGGGATCTCTCCTTTCATGTGGTTATAAGCCCAGTTGAGCCTCTTGAGTGATGTCATATTCCCCAAGGACTCCGGGAAAAACCCAGTCAAGTTGTTTTGTCTGAGAGATAGAAGCTCAAGCTTGGACAGAGACCCAAGATCAGAAGGAACACCGCCGCCAAGGTGGTTTGACGATAAATCAAGTGTCGAAAGGTTAGAGCAATTAGCAAGCTCGGACGGGATCCCTCCACCAAGAAGATTTTTGCTCATGTTCAAGTGTCGAAGCCTCGACAAGCTCCCAAGATTTGATGGGATTAAACCATGAAAAGAGTTGTCCGCAAGGTTAAGCCACCTCAGAAACGAGAGGTTACCAATGGAAGGCGAGACCGGCCCAGATAATTTCAGACCTCTAAGGTCCAGACCCACGATTCGTCCGTGTTTGCGACCGAGTTGAACTCCAATCCATTGAAAGAGAGGAAGAGAGTCGTTCCAAGAGTCCAAAGCAACTCTGCTTTCTTCAAGAACCTGAGACTTGAACTCAAGCAATGCTTCTTTGTCCGTCACAAAATCCGTGCGTCTGAATATTTGAGCATTGGTTGCTTCTGAAATCTCGAGTAGCATAAGCAAATGGAAAACAAGAGAAAGAAAGAGCTTCATACCCATACGCGTAAAATGCACTTTTTTTCCTCAATTTTTTTAGTAGCCCGGAAATGAACACGGGAGAAGGGTATATGAATAGACTCAAGGCAAATAAGAGTATACGTAACGTGTGGAATGGTTTGATCTGTGAGAACTGGGGGATTTACAAAAATGACTTTAAATGTCATTTTGACTTCAAGGGTGACCTTGAAATTTTGATAATTCCAATTTTGTCCTTCAATATAATAATTATATTTTATTATTATTTTATTCAGGAGACTTTATTTCGTTTTCGAAAAAACTTAATATTTCTTTTATTCGGTTTAGCGTTTCTTCTAAAAATGGGAGCCAATGTCCATTATAATTATCTTTCGATGAATGTTTTCTAAAATATTCAATTTTTATTTCTTTTATTGTAATTAATTTATTTAATTCTGTAATTATATTGTTAATTTGTTCTTTTTCTATTGTATTTTGTATGCATCTTAGTTTACTATATGTTTCTAAATGTTGTACTGGTGTGTTTAATAATTCGATATTTTTCTTGTATATTTTTTCCATTTTATTCGTCAGAATTTATAAT